AAAAAAAAAAAAAAAAAACAAAGAAACAGTTAAGAGTGGATTCAAATGGAATCCGCATGTTCGATTGGACCTCACTGCCAAATGGCTTTATATCTAAACCCCTTCTTCTAATAATAAAGCGTGGACTCTGAACCACAAACTTCGCATAACTCTACTTCAAAATCTACAATAATACCCAAAGACTTACAAATACCTTGTTTCATCTTGGTTGAATTCTGCATATTTAACCATTGTCTATCAGCTTCAGAAATTTTGACATCTGCAAACTCATCCTGTATCCCAGATAAAAAAAAATGTCCATCCGATCATGAAAAATAAATAAACTATATCAAGTTGAATACATCGTGAATTTTATTATCATTGCATCAGTGACTGACTGAGAGGTAATTACCGCAGATGTCCATTGACAAAATTAACATGGTACCAGTAATTGGGAGGCCACCAATCATCCTTTTTAATGGATTGATATACAAGAACATTGATGCCATGGATTTTGCATAAAATGATAAGAGTTCTATTTTCCCTCAAAACATACAAGTGGCTTTAACATAATCATCAATCAAATTGTGTCACAGAAACCAATATACTAAAATTAATTTCACTTCCCTGCGCTTCAAGCCAAAGTTAAAGCAATAATCACTTCTATTTAAAACGAGATTCCACAGTGCTCCTATTGTCCAAGTAAGCCCATCTTTCAGACCACATTTACATAATTTACATTGACTGATTGAGAGACAGCAGAACGTTGATTATCCTCCTCATTTCTTTAATTGTGGTTAGGTGAGCGCATAAATAAATTCTGAATGATTTCGTCAGATTATCAAGTAAAGATTACACTTCTAGACTTGCAACTTTGCATCTGTTTATTTTTCCTCTTACAATAATTCAACATATTTGCCGAAAACGCTTATTGTCCATACAGAATCACAAATACAATATCTTGCAGAAAAGCCATTTTATTCCTTTTCTTCTGCACTAAACGTCGCATAAATATCATTAGTAATCATTTATAAATCGAATTTGAAAGGAAAAATAAAGATAAAAACTCACATCAGAAATCCAATCGTCATCCACGTCACCACCACCATCGTCGTCATCTTCGCTGTCGTAAGGCGATACTGGCTGTCCATACCTGGATTTGCGATTGCGCTTCACAATTTTGGGGTTGGAATGCGACGACAAAACCCGAATGTTCCTACAATTTATTCTACTAAATCTTCCTTTAGCCTTTAAATTGGACAGTGAATCCCCACAGAAATTTTGCAGTGGGGTGAAGAAATTGAGTGGAGTGTAAGAGTTTGAGCCATTGAATATGGTAGTAAAAAGAGAGAAAACTTCCATTTCTGAGTTCAGATTTAAAGGAGGGGAATCAGTTAGACATGGAGAAGAATATACTCTAAAACCCTAACAATTATCTTGAATTCATTTGGGTTTTGTATTAATTTCCATCTTATCTTCTTGTTCCGATGTGTGGGGTTATGTTCTCTCGTTGAGTCATTGTCGGGACGTCATTTTTGGCGCCACTGACAGCGGTCTTCTCTTATCAAGCCATGTTCGACTTTCTAATGTGAATCACCATTATCAAATAAGCTGAAAGATAAGCCCGCCTCATGGATAATAAAGTTCCAAATGAAAGAAACGACTTGAGCTAGTATTACTCCTCATTTTTTCATGATTTAAACATTTTCACTAATTCTAAAATAAGAATTTGCAGTATCTTTTCATCACAAAGATTTTGTACCAGGTGCATTATAGGTAAAAAAATCTTTTGGTCACAAAAATTTTGCACCATAGTAGCATTTCTAATTGCTTTTAAAGAGATTTTAATTATAACATTATGTTAGATTTTTTAAAGTAAATTCAGACCATTTGCAGGAAGATTCCATGTTTGATTTCCCATCATCCTCTCTCTTTTTTCTAAATTTTTTTATGGTTTGGTGTGTTATAGATGGAGAGAAATTCATATACTTACATACACAAAAATCTAAGGAAATTGATAGATCTCATACACAAAAATTCACGAAAGCTGAAACATAAATTTATAATTTTACATACTTGTTTTATAATCATAATAAATCTGTTTGACTCAACAAAAAATAAGATCCTTAATTTTCAAACTCAACAAATAAATTGAAAAAATGAATTCATTTACAGTGAGGAAACAAATTATTTTTCCTCCGTGAAGGAAGGCAAAAATTGTCGGAAAAACTATGAAAAATGAAATGTTGTGGAAAAATGAAGAAAGAAATTTAGTTGTACATTTGTGGTGTAATAATAATTTATTTAATTAAAAAGTATATTAAAATTCTAATTATGTAATTTTACTTATGGATATTTTAGTAAATGAGAAAATTATGGTATACTTAGTAAAATTTGTAGTGGTAATATAATTACCCTTACAGATGAAGCTTGTCGAGTTTTTATTAAAAGACAAAAAAAAGCACCTGTAGATGAGGCTTCATGGAACAGAGGATTATTTCCTATCTATATGGAGAAATTTACGATGAGTTTCAAATCCTATAGAACAGAATGTGATATGATGAGGTAGAAACAAAGGCTAAAAACACATTACCTACTCTTAACCGTTATAGTGAGTTATTAATTATATGTCAATTTCTTTTTAGAGTACAAATATACAAAGTGTCAAATGACTCAAATCCATTTTTCACACTCCTCCATGACCTAATGACAAGTTTCACCAAACTAATAACTCGTCTCTCGGCCTCTGGCCAGTATTTCTTACAACAGAAATCAAAGAAAACCTCCTGTCGACATGCTAAAAGTGCAGCCCAATTCAAATAACCCAAAGAATGAAACTCAACTGGGCAATTCAGGATAAAGGCCCAAATAGGGTTATTAATGAATGCAGTGGAAGCCCACGAAAGCGGTAACATCATCGTCCAAACTTACAAGACGCCCAGGATCTGAGCGAATGAGGTGCCTTGCAGTCGCCCAGAGTTATGACCCTGTTCTCGCCCAAACTTTCGAATCGCCCAGGATCTTAGCAAACACGAGATGTTATGGTTATCCAAAAGTGCAATTATCGAAGCAGTTATTGGGTAATTTTGGGTAATCTTATCACGTTCCACGATTCAAGGATGTTCAGTTGAGGACGGTTGAACGACAAAGAGTAATGGCAGCAGTTAGAGACGGTAGTTCCACGATAAGTTGACCACCATGAAGAAAGTGGGCAGTTATAAAGTAATTAAGCGGTTTCTAAGCGGTTGATCATAAAGAGAGCATCAAAGGAATATAAAAGGAAGAAAAGACATAGAGTAAAAGAGACCGAATCAAACACTCTCAAATAGAGAATATGTAATTTCAATTTCTTAGTTTAGACTTAAAACATTTCTTTTTAGTACTCGTGTACTTGCGCCCTTTGGAGGCATTTCTGTTTAAGATCCAATTGTAAAGTCATTGCTAATAAAACACCCCTTTTTGGGATTTTATCTCAAGAGGTTTGTCCCTTACACAATCGTCTAATCCCTTTTTAATTGTTAGCGACTACCCGTGCGAAACAATTTGGCACGCCCAGTGGGACATTGGTATTTGATGTTGAAGATACAAAAGGTGAAACAATATGCCTCAGAAATTCGATAAAGAAACAGCAAGCCAGGGAGGAGTCCAGTTTGTGATCGAGGGATATGAGGAGCAGCATAGATCTCCACGAACAGATGGACAGGATCAGAGCGATCACAGTCGCTACGAACCAATGACAAAGTTGAGTCCTTGAACCATGCATGCATTATTCGGAGAACTCACACAAGATGTCGTTGAACAAGTAAATCTACGAAGTATTCATAATATGGAAAGATTTACCCAGAATGGGAATGCACATTATGACAACATGGCCAAACAATTGAATACTTTGAACGAAATAATGAATAAGTTGGTAGGCCAAATTTGTCAGCCAGTTGTGCCTCTTACAAATCACTTTCAAACTAGGACAATTGTGGGATATAATCCCCCAGTCCCAAATTTGAATCAAGGGGTAGAATCACCTTTTGATCCCTTTATTTCAAACCAGGGGGTGGTGCAATACCAAATCAGAATAGTGACATTGGTACGTCTAACTTGGGGGGTAATCCAAATGTAAGAGATAATGTCCTAAATAATGGGCAGAATACCCCACGTGTTAATGAGGGAATAAATACTCAGGCTAATGGTAACAATGACCCAAATTATGGTAACTTTATTCCCAATCAAGGACCAGACATCAGGCCTCAAACAAATCAACCGGTCAACCAACCTGTAGGGATTCCATATGACCCCAACGTCATGTTGAGGAATCAGATTATGAAAATCGTACAGGACCGGATGGCTTTCGGAGTACGTCCTGTCATTAGGTTGACTTACACAAAGTCATATCCTGATTGGGTAGACCAAGCATATCCGTGGCCTAGAGGGTATAAAGTGCCAGAATTCTCACTGTTTACCGGTTTAGGAGAGGTGTCTACTCTAGAACACATAGGGCGATTCACACTGCAAAGTGGTAACGTAACTGATTACCATAAAATGAGGCTATTTCCTAGTTCATTAACAGGAGTAGCCTTCTCCTGGTTCATCAATTTGTCAGCAAACTCTGTTCAAACATGGCAATAATTGGAGCAATTGTTCCACGCTCAGTTTTATAAGACTGAGTCTAAAGTTACTTTGACCGATTTGACGAATCTACGTCAAATGCTAAACGAATGGGCAGAAGGTTTCCTTCAAAGGTTCGAAACAGTAAGAAGTAAATGTTTTGTACCTTTGCCCGAAAAGGAGTTTGTCAAAATCGCTCAAGGTTGTCTAAGCTTTGATTTGAAGAAGAAGTTCCAAAACAAGGAATTTCCTGATCTTTTTCAATTGAGCGCGAACGTGATTAGGTATGAACGATTAGTAAGAGAGGAAGAACAAATGAAAAATTCTAACAAAGAGACTTATTATAGAGACCCAAATTTTGATGTTCATACCATTAACGACGAGTATTATGATCAAACCGAAATGTGCTGGCCGAATTAGTTAAAGAAGACACATATACTTGTCATATAATGGCTAAGCCTAGACCGTCAGGTAAAGATGAGCCTATAAAAGATGAAAACATAAATGTTAGAACGTTCTCGTTCGATGTAACCAAAGCTGATCTTATATTTGATAAATTATATAAGGATAAGCAGATAAAGCTGAGCGATAAGCATATATTGCCAAGCCCTGAACAAATTAAGGGTAAAAAATATTGTAAGTGGCATAATGCATGGTCACATTTGACTAACAATTGTTTGGTTTTTCGCCATGTGTTATTGGATGCCATTGAAAAAGGACGAATTACGTTCGAGGATAAGAGAAAGATGGCAGTGGATGAAAATTCTTTTCCACAGTCACTTGGAGTGAACATGGTGACGTCTAGTTTCAGAAACAAGTTGCCAAAATTCAAGTTGGTTATAGATGATGAAGAAGAAGAAGCTGGACCACATCCCAGTGTCTTTAAACGTATCAAAGGGAAGGAGCCCAAAAAGGACGAAGACGTCCTATGTGCAAGGTGCAAAAAAGAAGTGAGTGCAAATGCAGAGAAACCAGGGATATGGCAGCATCACCATTGCCCTTGTTTTTTCCCAAACGCTCAGCCTGGTAGAGGGCAGGGTACATCGTTCTATAAGGGACCGCCTTTTGAGAGGCAGTTCAGGCCAGTAAATAATGGAAGAACATTCAGACTGCAACCTCGCCAACCAAATGTATAGCATTCGTTCCAGTATAAGGCTGGAAGGGCGATACCTTTCAACGAGATGACTAGAACCCAACAAAGGCGTTTTCAACGGAACTATAGGCAAATGATAAGGCAACAACAGGAAATGCTACGTCCAAAGGCACCTAGACTACTCAAAACAGCCAATCAAAATGTTCTCAAAGACAATGAAGAGACTGGATAGGCGAACCTATGGAAGAATTGCCAGAGACTTCTTCTAGGAGGTCGAAGTTTGAGCGAGATAGAAGGGATGGAAAAGATCCAGATCGGCCCCTTACTATTCAGTTTGGTACGTTACCTCCCGTTGTGGCCAATAACTATTTACTAGCTAATGAGTTCAAGAATAAAGAGAAGGGAGAAGAAGAAATGGAGGATAACGAAGAAGAAGCATGCATGCTGGAATATGAAGAAGGCCAAACTTCTAGAAAGGCCTACAATGGTGAAGAAGATGATCGTATGACAGACATCGAAGAAGAAATCGATATAGAGGTAGAAAGAAGAAGAAGATGAGTATCGTACAACACTCTATTGAAGCAACTGCACCGAGAGGGAGTTCATGAAGTAGACTTATTGGGAGAACCATTTGGGCGTTCCTTTGATTTTTACGTGCTGTACGGGACGCCCAAAAGGAAGAAGAGAGTGCCTCGCTTTGAAAAGTATGGATCACCTCCAAGAATAATGCCTCCTCCCACAGGTTGGGTAACTGAAAAAGAAGCATTAGAAAACAGTAAAAAGGAAATTCAGGAGACAGAGGCTCAGTGT